CAGGTATCGGTAACTGGAATAGCCCGAACTGAAACTATATTTTTGTTTCAAAGAACAGATTCTAGATGGCGCTGTACACAACAATTTACAGAAATCTACAATTGATGGTGGAAAGAGTGGGAGTGTCATTTGTCATTGTCAGGCATCCATATCCACAATCATTGCGTTCGGTTTGCCACGTTCCTTTAACTCCTTTAACACTTTTAACTCCAAACGACTCTTTTAGCGTTCGGTTTAGTCCGATTAGTGACAGTTTAACACGCTTAAATGTCATTTAAAAGCACCCTAAAATTTGTCCCGCTCCAGCCCCTGACTGACCGAACTCGCCTCAAATATCCCCTATAGTAATGTTACTGGGATTCAAGAAATGGCTTTGAGTTACGCTGCGGCCAGACACAGGTCTCATGGCGCTAGTATCGTTATTGATTTTTGACATCGGCACGTTCATTGGTTGACGATGAATTCAAAACAATCTGATCGGAGCGTTACTCACTGCCACTCCTTCTCTTTGTTTAGATACTTATAAAAGAAAGAGATACCAGTTAATAATTCCTATTTCGAATCATCTTTCATTCTTTAGCGTTGAGTTTTTATAAGTGAAGCGTGAAGTGTCAGTGGTTGACAAGTGATAATTTTTTGATTTTTTCTTCTACGAAATTTAATATTAATTTTGTTTCAGCGATATTTATTGTGATTTGTGTTGTTGTATTAAGTGCTTTCTTATTTAATATGGGAAACAAAACGTACAACAAACTCAGAAAAAGAGGAATCAAGGAGGGATTGCTATCTATGGCTGTCATCCAAGGGTCTGCGCTCTAGATAATACTTTTCCAGTGGGAAAAGCCTTTAAAATTCAAGTATAACAATTTTATGTTTCCGTTTTCCATTCTTTTAATGTAGGTGCCAATTTTGAGGTAAGTTTGTAATAATTTTTCATATTTTTTCAGTTAATACCTACCCTCTTAATATTATAATTTAACTATGATCTTATGCTTTCCTATGGACACGATTCAAGGAGGGAGTCCTATGGCTGTCATCCAAGCTCTAGATAATAGTTTTCTAGTGGCAACAGCCTTTAAAATTCAAGTATAATAATTAACTTTTTTCGAAGTAGATGTCCATTTAAACTAAATTTTTTTATTTCACTTATTGATTTTAGCATTTATATACAGTATCGGCTAATGAACACTTTCCAATACGCTTGGCTAGAATCGAAAAGAAAACTAAAGAGTTAGCGCATTAATTCGATCAGGAAACGAATAATATGAATGTTGCCTTGTGTGCTATGTAATATGAACAGGCACACGGTGTGATGCATCCGCACGTAGCCGGCTGGCTACGTTCATAGTATTCTATTCCTTCTCCCACTAATGCTAACTCTTTGTAGTTTTTACTTGGACATTAGCAAAATGTATTGTACAACATTCGATAGCTGTCACTGTATTATCACAAACATCTCTTAATAACTAAATGATTTCATTTAATAGTTTCTTTTTTTTTCAGTAAAATGGATATGGCTAGAGTTATCTTCATCTTTAAAATATATTAAATAAGTTTTATAATTTTTCAAATAAAATACTTTATACAATGTTTTGTTTTTTTTACCAGAGCCAATTTTTTTTCAGATCTAACCTCTATAGGTAAAAAATAAGTGATTTAGGTAAAATTGAAAAGTATATTACATGTTCTTTTAAATGTGTTGTTAATCCAAATGCTGCTCTTATTGTAATAGCTAATAATAAAAGAATTAGTATTATTTTTAGCTATCAAAATAAAAATAGCGCCTGGATTTACAGCTCGTTTAATCGAACATGCAATATACTTCTCAATAATTATTGCCGAATGAATATATTTAAAAATTCCCGCCATTCCGCGGCTAAAAAATTTACAATTTTGGCGGGAAATTTAAATTTCGCCTTTAAATTATATTTGAATTTACCGCCATATCGAGTTAGTTGAGCGGCCAGACACAGACGCATTCTTGCGCTGCAAACTTAGTGTCAACTCTTTAACAAGTGAGATGCATTACTATAGGGGATACTGGGGATATTCATAGCGTTCGGTTTAGTCCGATTAGTGACAGTTTAACACGCTTAAATGTCATTTAAAAGCACCCTAAAATTTGTCCCGCTCCAGCCCCTGACTGACCGAACTCGCCTAATAGTGGAGACAACCCTATAGTAGTGCATCTCACTTGTTAAAGAGTTGGCACTAAGTTTGCAGCGCAAGAATGCGTCTGTGTCTGGCCGCTCAACTAACTCGATATGGCGGTAAATTCAAATATAATTTAAAGGAGAAATTTAAATTTCCCGCCAAAATTGTAAATGTTCAGCCGCGGAATGGCGGGAATTTTTAAATATATTCATTCGGCAATAATTGAGAAGTATATTGCATGTTCGATTAAACGAGCTGTAAATCCAGGCGCTATTTTTATTTTGATAGCTAAAAATAATACTAATTCTTTTATTATTAGCTATTACAATAAGAGCAGCATTTGGATTAACAACACATTTAAAAGAACATGTAATATACTTTTCAATTTTACCTAAATCACTTATTTTTTACCTATAGAGGTTAGATCTGAAAAAAAATTGGCTCTGGTAAAAAAACAAAAACTTGTATAAAGTGTTTTATTTGAAAAATTATAAAACTTATTTAATATATTTTAAAGACGAAGATAACTCTAGCCATATCCATTTTACTGAAAAAAAAAAGAAACTATTAAATGAAATCATTTAGTTATTAAGAGATGTTTGTGATAATACAGTGACAGCTATCGAATGTTGTACAATACGTTTTGCTAATGTCCAAGTAAAAACTACAAAGAGTTAGCATTAGTGGGAGAAGGAATAGAATACTATGAACGTAGCCAGCCGGCTACGTGGGGATGCATCACACCGTGTGCCTGTTCATATTACACAGCACACAAGGCAACATTCATATTATTCGTTTCCTGATCAAACTAATGCGCTAACTCTTTAGTTTTCTTTTCGATTCTAGCCAAGCGTATTGGAAAGTATTCATTAGCCGATACTGTATATAAATATTAAAATCAATAAGTGAAATAAAAAAATTTAGTTTAAATGGACATCTACTTCGAAAAAAGTAAATTATACTTGAATTTTAAAGGCTGTTGCCACTGGAAAACTATTATCTAGGGCTTGGATGACAGCCATAGGACTCCCTCCTTGAATCGTTTCCATAGGAAAGCATAAGATCATAGTTAAATTATAATATGAAGAGGGTAGGTATTAACTGAAAAAATATGAAAAATTATTACAAACTTACCTCAAAATTGGCACCTACATTAAAAGAAGGGAAAACGGAAACATAAAATTGTTATACTTGAATTTTAAAGGCTTTTCCCACTGGAAAAGTATTATCTAGGGCGCAGACCCTTGGATGACAGCCATAGATAGCAATCCCTCCTTGATTCCTCTTTTTCTGAGTTTGTTGTACGTTTTGTTTCCCATATTAAATAAGAAAGCACTTAATACAACAACACAAATCACAATAAATATCGCTGAAACAAAATTAATATTAAATTTCGTAGAAGAAAAAATCAAAAAATTATCACTTGTCAACACTGACACTTCACGAGTTCACGCTTCACTTATAAAAACTCAACGCTAAAGAATGAAAGATGATTCGAAATAGGAATTATTAACTGGTATCTCTTTCTTTTATGAGTATCTAAACAAAGAGAAGGAGTGGGAGTGAGTAACGCTCCGATCAGATTGTTTTGAATTCGCCGTCAACCAATGAACGTGCCGATGTCAAAAATCAATAACGATACTAGCGCCATGAGACCTGTGTCTGGCCGCAGCGTAACTCAAAGCCATTTCTTGAATCCCAGTAACATTACCATTGCTGCGTTTGAGAATCCACATCGGATGCATCTGAGATGTAAAAAATCTTTGATCACGTGATTCAGTATACGTAAATGTAATGGGACAGATGTGTCCGATGTGGATAAAAAAACGCTAGAGATGTAAAAAATGCATCCGATGTGGATTCTCAAACGCAGCATATATGGGATATATTGTGGAGACAACCATATCTATGAGACAACCACAGAACGAATCAACAAAAATCAAGGTGACACTGGAAACCTCGGAAGCGCTCGGTACTTTGCGGAGACGGTCGGTAGAGTTTGACCGCAGAATACTTTTAATAGTGAGGCGAGTTCGGATAGTCAGGGGCTGGAGCGGGACAAATTTTAGGCTGCTTTTAAATGACATTTAAGCGTGTTAAACTGTCACTAATCGGACTAAATCGAACGCTAAAAGGGTCGTTTGGAGTTAAAAGTGTTAAAGGAGTTAAAGGAACTTGGCAGACCGAACGCAATGGTGGTTATTCTGTGGTTTGGCGAAAATTATGTTTGCAATAATTTACAGAGTTCACTAGCAAAGTATAGGCGAGTTCGGTCAGTCAGGGGCTGGAGCGGGACAAATTTTAGGGTGCTTTTAAATGACATTTAAGCGTGTTAAACTGTCACTAATCGGACTAAACCGAACGCTAAAAGAGTCGTTTGGAGTTAAAAGTGTTAAAGGAGTTAAAGGAACGTGGCAAACCGAACGCAATGCATGTGGTTCACGCAAAGAAGTAGAACCTAACCTCAAATTTCAACGGCCGTTTGGTTATATTACTTTGTTTATTTGCACTTATTTACGGATGGATAAATTAATTAATTTTATCTATGGCAGATATTATATCTGGTTAAAGAAAATAAACAAATAATGTTATTTAAATTTTTTTAGAAATAATCCTAAAAATATACGAGTAAGATAATACATAAGGTCTGTTCGGGTTCTTTAAAATACATTGAAAACTATCAGAGGACTAGTTGACCAGTGGACAGTTTAATAGTTGTGTGCGACGTATACTTTAGAAATGAACTGTTCCACTAGTTCTCGGACGGTTTGCATCGAGTTTTAAGGAAACCCGAACAAACCTATAGGTAAATGAGGTTAAAATAAGATTACTGTCTAAGTCTAAATATGCCGCAAAGTCATAGAAAAACTCCTTTTAGTGGAAAAGCGAAAAAAGAACAGCTAAAAATCAAAAAACAATCCAAACAAGGTAAAGATTATGTTTTAATTATATATTGAGTGCCACGCATTATTAATCCTCATTTTTTTGAAAGGGTTTCACAAAAATCCAGTACTCCTTAAAGCTCATGAAAATATCGGTGAGGGATCTGGGAATATTGATAAAATCAATTTTCAACCAACCAGAGATGGTCATTCAAAGCCAAATAGATACGCTTTACAATTTTTTAAAGAAAGCCAAGAGGAAATTTTGAAACAAAAGGAACTTGCTAGGCACAGTCTGGAACCTAAGGAGGAGCTAGATTTAGAAATAGAGGCAAATCAATTTTTTGAAAAGGATCTAGATTTTCCAAAGAGGCCCTCTTGGGATTTCTGTCTAAGTAAAGATGAATTGGAACAACAAGAAAATCACTATTTCACTGTGAGTATGAAAGCTTCTTTCAAGGGCGGTTCCTTACAATTAATGAGACTTTTATAAAAAAAAAAAAAAAATACTAAAACTAAAAAGAGAGTGGATAATGGCAATAGTTCCTTTGTCTTTATCCAGGTAAACACTATCATGATGAGGAAAATACAGGATAAATAGAATCTTTTCTACTAAATTTATTTATTTTACAGCAATATGTAAAGGATGTAGAACAAAAGTTTAATTGGAAGGACTTGAGCTTATTTGAGTTAAATCTCGAAACTTGGAGACAGCTTTGGAGGGTCCTAGAGATAAGTGATGTTATTCTATTCATTGTAGATATTAGATTTGCTGTAAGTTTAAATCACTTGTGCGAACTTAGCGCCCGGCGCTGGCGCCCAATGTCAATGCTTACCCCCCTCCACAAAGAGAAGTTCGCACTGCTTAAATTTATCGATACTTTGAGCAGCTACCTACCATTTTTCACTTAGTTACTTTGTCTCTCTTATTAATGAGTAAAATTTATAATAATATGCAATGAGATGATATAAATTGAACATAAAAATATATCAATATGATTTTACGTAACCACAACTTTTTTTGTATCACATACATTCTGGCTGTGCGGATTTTTAAGACCTATGAGGACTATAGGTAATATACGTAGACAAGGATGTTATGTTTTTATGAGGAAATGATGCGTTGTACCACAAATGATGATGACTTTGAAGCTTGCTTGGAAACAGTTCCCTTCAACGAATCATCAATGACGAAGTTTAGAACAGTTATCCTAAGCAATTTGTATGAAGTAATTATAACTCAAAAAAAGAAGTCTAGTACAGATGAGATAGGTTTTGATAGCATTAAGAATCTATTTCATGTTCTTGGTTATCCATTACTTAATTTGATAAATACTAGTTTAGATAAGGGTATTGTTCCACAGAGATTTAAAACATCAACAATAATTCTAATCCAAAAAATAGCTAATACAAACAAGGCAGATCAGTTGTGACCCATAAATATGCTTCCATTTTGTGAAAAACTTTTAGAAGTAGTTGTGTACAATCAAATCATGGAATTTTATAACTTCAAATAAAATACTATGCAGTTATCAATCTGGCTTTAAGAAAGCACATTCTTGTAGGTCGGCTTTACAATTAGTTATTTCAGGTATTAAAAATATTAGAGGACGGAGCATTGACACAGCACTCTTTACGTTTGTTAAAGAGATTATAGATGCAATTGATCTGCAGCTATTGGTTTGTACATAGACCTTACAAAAGCATTTGTCGCTTGTTTTATTTATATACTCATGCACCTTGACTTGTTTTTTTTTATGTATTATTCATATAAAAATAAATATATATATTTTTTGTGTCATCGGCTTCAACTGCTAAGGTTATTTCGCCTCGTGTTCTGTGTAGGCCTTGTTACTGTTTCCCAGCGCCACTTTAGGAACAGCACTGTTAATTAGAACCCAACAGTGAATGGTCGAGTGGGGAATCCTACAAAGGCATCAGAATTAATTTTAAATAATTAAATGAAAAAATTCCGGCCAACGGTGGGATTCGAACCTGGGACCCTTGGATCCACAGGCAGAGACTACCACTGAGCCACCCACCCCATTATTATTATTCTTGATAAACCAGGAATTGGTATCTGCCCAGTTTTTATTGATCTTAAACGTGTATTTGAAACGATTGACCATAAACATTTTACTTCAAAAATTAAAAAAATATGGATTTAGGGAAACTCTGTCTTTGATTGGTTGCATAATTACTTATTTAATAGATATCAAGTAACTAAAATTAATAATGAGGCATCAAATCCAGAATTAAATACTTTGGGGTGCCGCAGGGAAACGTGCTTGGACCCTTACTATTCATACTTTATATAAATGACTTGGGACAGGTTCTTAAAAAATGTAAAATACATTTTGCAGATGACACATTTATCTATTATTATGGGGATGATTTTGCTGAAGTTGCTGAGACTGTCAACTATGAATTGGGGTTATTAACATCTAAATTCAAACAAAATAAATTAAAAGTTAGTGAGATGAAATCAAAATTTATGTTCATTGGTAACAACTTGCTATAAAATAGATTTTTGAATTTAAATTTAGACATTAAAATAAATAACGAAACAGTAGTAATGGTCCAAGAAATAAAGTATTTAGGAGTTATGTTGGATGATAGAGAACTAAAAAAAAAAACGTAGGAAAAAAATAGAATTTTTACAGAGAGTGTCACCATATCTATCAATATATAATACACTTATTCTACCCCATTTTTACTATTGCTGTTCTTTAATATATACAGGATGTTCCAATTTTGATAGACTACAGGTCCTACAAAACAAAGCAATGCGAGTGATACTAGGTTGTAACAAATATACCAGTATTCCGTTTATGTTAGAGGCATTAAATTGGCTAAGTGTTGAAAAACTGCTATATGTACAAACAATGGTTTTTAACCTATGGTGCTGGGGTTTTAAAAAAACCGCTATTTTCAGAAAAAGTAGTCCTCATGTAGCAGATTAAATCCCAAATTACCAGAATATGACACAACGCATAATTTTCTCGTAAAAAAAAATAATACATATTTAGGGGTGAGTTTTAATCTATGACGCCGAGGTCTTAGAAAACTGAAATTTTAAGGGAAATGTAGTCGTCAAGTTCCTGATTAAATTCCACTTAGAATGTTGCACAAAGCACCGTTTCCTCGTAAAAAAATAATCTTTTAAGGCTGCTTTTTAACCTATGACGCTGGGTTTTAGAAAACCGCTATTTTTAGAAAAAGTTGTCCCCAAGTAGCAGATTAAATAATAACCAGAATATTGCACAACTCATAATTTTCTCGTAAAAAATAATACATATTTAGGGGTGCGTTTTAACCTATGACGCTGGGTTTTAGAATGTATTCGTCAAGTACCTGATTATTTATCAACGAGCAATTGCCCAATTAAAATACAAGTTTAATAAATGAAGGGAAAATTTAAAACCTAACCTACACTTAGAGAATGTTGAAACAAAGAAACACACATTGGGTGCTATGATTGAACGTTTACGTTATCCGTAACGTACATGTTAGGCCGAGTTTTAACAGAAATGAGGCAAATTCGTATGATGAAAAATTTTTTCCAACACATTACTGTTATTTTCCGCTTATTATGTTCTAATTTAACAGTTTTCCATCAAACGAACTTGCCTCGTTACTGTCAAAACTCGGCCTAACATGTACGTTATGGATAACATAAACGTTCAATCATAGGACCCATTACCATAAAATTAACGTAAACATAAACAAAAAAATTAAATATTAAAAAAAAAAACAAGCAAGATAACAATTGTAAATAAGTTAAATTAAATTATCTAGACATCAAAATATCACATGCATGATTTAAGCTGAGATTCAAAGACTTTTTTATTATCAAAGCAGTCCAATCTATCAGAATATTGATTAGCAAATCTACCCGATCTTGATAGAAAAGAATTATGTCCGTAGTTAGTCCGATGTTGTCTAATATTAAAGGGCTGAATAAGTCTTGTTTGTCTAGAAGGAACATGAATATTGATTTTTCCCAATAGCTCTGAACTAAAGCTAAATGAGTGCAGTATATTGTAGAATTTGGTAAGATCCATGTGCATGCGTCTGATCTGAAGAGTGGTAATATTAAGGGAACTCTCAATATTTGAGTAATTAATATCCTCGACTCCACGGTGGTCCTTAAATGAAATAAATCTTACAAATTTATGCTGAACTCTTTCAATGGCTTGAATATGAACATTGTAGTAGGGGGACCAGACACGAACAGTAATCTAAATGGGGCCTCACCAGTGAACAAAACAATATTTTAATGGATGATACCTCTAAAAAATCATTAGCGCAACGTTTAATAAAGCCTAACATTTGAAGTGATTTTGAGACTGCCATTGATAGATGGGGTACGTAAGATAAGTTGGAATCGAGGACTACACCCAAATCTTTAACTTGAGATACCGATTCCAAAGGACAACCAATTAATATTGTAGATTATATGTTCTGTGGGAGTTCTGTTACGACTGAAGACCATTTGATGGCACTTTTTGACATTAAGTTCCATTCCATTGATTTAAATCCAGTTGCTGAGACGATCTAAATCAGCTTGCAGTTTTATGCAATCAGATTCTTTCTTTATTCTCATATAATTTTAAATCATCTGCAAACATTAGGAATATGGCAAAGGCAAAACAGGATGCAATATCATTCACATATAAATTAAATAGAAGAGGGCCCAAGTGTGAACCTTGAGGTACACCTGATTATACTTTAATTCCTAATGATTGGAAGCCCTGAATACGCACTATCTGTATTCTTTCAGTAAGGTAAGAAGATAGCCATTTAAGCAGTCCCCCTGAATTCCCAAACTCTACATCTTATTAATTAAAACTTTATCGTTAACCCTATCGAAGGCTTTTTTAAAATCTGTATACACAGCATGTACTTGATAACCGTCCTCTAGGGATTCCAAGAGATAGTCAGTAAATGTTAAAAGGTTAAGTTCTGCTGAACGATGAGAAATAAATCCAAACTGTTGATTAATAAAACAGCTTTTTAAACTAGTCGATAAATAATCACAAACAAGGCTCTCATATACTTTAGGAATACAACTCGATATACTAATAGGTCGATAGTTATCAACCTGTGAGTTATCTCCAATATTCCAATACGCTGGGAATGTCCCGCTTTTTAAAGAATGATTGAAGATATGAAAAAGGGGTCTGGAGAACAAAAAGCTGCAGTGTTTAATAAGGGATGATGGAAGACCATCAGGGCCTGGCCCTTTGTTAATATCCAATTTTGATAGTTTTCATAGATTGATGAGATAGATATACAAAATTGTGATAGGTTGATGTCATTAGAAGACAAAGTATCCTGCAAATTATAATTCTTATCACTATAAGTTTTAGAAAAATACTCAGCAAACAAATTGACAATCTTCATGCCAGAGGAACTAGTGGTATTATCATAATGTATGATTAAATCCTACTTAGTCAGAATGTGGCACAAAGCACCGTTTCCTCGTAAAAAATAATCTGCTTTTTATTTTATATTGTTTAGCACTGCTTATGTTTCGGAAAATACAATTTTTCCATCTTCTGGTGCAGTCAATTTATAAAAATTATGGGGACAAATACAAACAGTTTAAAATAATAGAATGTCATCTTTCTATTTCAAATCTTGTGAAGGTGTATTTGAAATAATAATTTGTTTTAACACGATAAAGGAGGGAAACAAAAAGATGAGTTTTTACAAAGTTAAAAATTACCAGTGGCGTTACAGTTAAGGATTATCCTTATTCAAATGATATATTTTTATGTTCAATTTATATCATCTCATTACATATTATTACAAATTTTACTCGTTAATAAGGGAGACTAAAGTACCTAAATGAAAAATGGTAGGCAGCTACTCAAAGTAAAGTATTGATAAAATTAAACAGAGTGAACTTCTCTTTGTGGAGGGGGTAAGTGCTGATATTGGGCGCCAGCGTCGGGCGCTTAATTTATACAAGTGTTTAAATCACTTTAAATTACAAGAGTTTTTAGTGGATATTTAAATCAAACTATGCTTGTTTTAGGCTGTCATGTTCCCCCCATCTTTGTATCAGTATGTCACCAATACATTAAAAAAGGACTTTATTTTAGTGATAAATAAAATAGATCTAGCTCCTGCTAGCATCGTGGTAGCTTGGAAACATTATTTTGAAGAGAGATATCCAAATTTACATATTGTTTTGTTCACTACAGTGCCTGGGTACAATTTGATAGGCAACCAAACTAATGCCTCTGGTAAGTTACCAATTATTTAACAGAAAGAAGGTCAAAATTCAAAGTTTGGTACATTATTAAGGAGGGGGAGCACAGCAACGGCAACTCTTGTCACGCTAAACATTCAAAACAGAGTTATTGGAATTAAAGTTTTTTGGTCAGGCAGTATTTTAATTATTGGAAGTCTAAAATTTTAAAGTTTGATTAAGTAGACAGTTATTTATGTTTAACCTAGAATCATTTATTAGAATATGTTTAATCCTTAATCTAAGGTTTATTTTGTACAGTTATTTTTTCAAAGAATTTATTATAAACACCTGGTATCCAGAACACTACAAATAGGAGAGAAGGTAAACATGGATGAAATGTTAGAAGCCACCAAAATAAAGTTAACCTTAAGCACATACAGACAGTAGTACAAATAATGAACACTATTTAATTATGGTTTTCCTTATTAAAAATTTCAAGTGTGCGTGCTTAGATGTCAAAATAAAGACGTCCTTAATACTGCTTAAACTTTAGACCAAGATCAATAACTCTCTGATGCCTCTATAGTGTTATGATAATTAGGTTTGCATTATTTAGGTTTACAGGTACGCAGACGAAAAGGGCGAATCCGCATGGCTGCCGAGGGCGCCCAGCAAATTTTAGACATCTGCAAGAAACTAGTAGGCAATGAGATAGAGCTAAGCTCTTGGCACAGGAAAATTAAAGAGGAATGCAGCCTAGAAACTGGCGATAGTGATAACGACAGTGTAGAAGTCGGTGAAACAGTGCATTTGAAAAATGTGGATACTGATTATGTTCAGTATGAGAAATTTTACAAAGGGGTTAGTAAAGTGCCATTGAACATTTTTTTTAGATTATCTATAAAATGTGTACGTTTTATTAATTATTAACATAACTCACACTTTTTAGACTTTAACTATAGGCTGCATTGGCCAACCAAACGTAGGAAAATCATCTTTGATGAATGCATTGATGGGGAAAAAAGTAGTGAGCGTGTCCAAGACCCCGGGCCACACTAAACACTTCCAAACCATATTTTTGACTCCCAATGTTAGGTTGTGCGATTGTCCTGGATTGGTTTTTCCTTCTAAGGTACCAAAACCTCTACAAGTATTAATGGGAAGCTTTCCTATAGCTCAGCTACGTCAGCCTTTTACCACTGTTAAATATATAGGTAGGTTTTTTTTGCAAAAAATACCTTACTTGGGTAAGGGGAAAAAAACCAACGCTGTCCATTTTATAGGAATTTTTAAGTAATCAACTTTTATGTTGGTGATACCGAGTCCCAAACCCATGATAAATTGTAAGCTAATAAAACAAACGAAGTCCGAATAATGTGTTTAAAAATAATCATAATGGTTAAAAACAGACGTTGTCCTCGCACTACTGGAAAAAAACCGACGTTGTCCAGGCTAAATACAACTATTTGCAAGTACTAAAACGATTTTGTCACCCAAATACTAACGAATTTTGAGAAACATTGTTTTACAGATAAAAATCTGTTTATTTTAGGTTAGTTTTAAAATGAAAGTTATTTGTCACGTTTATTTTTTTTAACCTGAATATAATATTCTTACGTTTAAATTATTTTGTAAACATTTAACTATATAGTATTAAATTACGTTAATAATATTAACGGGCGGTTTTATTTATTTCTATGACTGTAACATACGATTTGGTAATAATATTAATTATAAACTCAATTTTCTTAGTAAGTTTTGTGGCATCGTCTGTTTTTCCCCTTTCCCTTCACTTTAGGTTGATTGTTTTTTTTTTTAATTAATTTATAAGATCTATTGTATTATAAGATCTGTAATTACAATTTGTCAAATATTAAAGAGTTCCTGTCTTAATTGCAGCTGAAAGGTTAGATCTAGTGGTCCTTCTTCGCATCGATCATCCTACAAACGATGACACTTGGTCAGCCATGGATGTATGTGACGGTTGGGCGAAAAAGAGAGGTTATTATACCGCTAAAGCGGCTCGTCTGGATTCGTACAGAGCCGCCAACAGTTTGTTAAGAATGGCTCTAGATGGAAAAATTTGTCTCTGTCTAAGACCGCCTGGATATTCAGAGAAAAAAGGTAACTTATTTTGTTAACAATGTAACATAAACCAAATTGATGTTTATTCTAAATACTACATCAACTTGGATTGTATACCACAGGGATCCGTTTTAGAACCTATAATTTTTCTCATTTACATGAATGAATTAAAATTAGTTGGCAATTACTTTCAATGAATTTTTAGAGCTTTGGGCGTCACATCCTGACATAAGAGTTGTAGAAGGGATTCAGGCCCGAAACGCTGAGGCTGCATCCAGTGGTGACAGCCATTTGGTAATAGACACTGATAGCGATGAAGAAGTATCCAAAAAGAATGTAAATAAAAAAGAAAAATCCAATTCAGATTCTGAAGATGATAGCGAAGACGAAGATGATTTTGAAGTAACTTCTAATAAATTTTCAGCCCTCAGTTCGGATATGTAAAAGTGATATGTTATTCTATTAAATAATAAGCTTTTGTTTCAATTAAAATGTCTTTAAATATTGTTAAAAAAATTGTCTCCAATAACTAGGTCCTTGCTTCTATCAAATGTGTATTTTATTAGAGCGCTATATTGTTTTGGAAATGTATTGTGACGATAGTCTAAATTATTTATTTATTTATTACAATGCTCTACAGGCAATCCCAATTACAGAGCAGGAATAAAAGAACACATACATTATATAGACTAAGTGGTACAAAATATACAAAAATTAGTAAACAGCTAGTAGGTAAAATACAATACAGTACAATTTTTTTTTATGTTAGGAAATGACATTTTATTTCCCTGAGTTTGCATGAGAAGATATCAATGTCACTACTCACACTATTCACAACGCGGCTAATAGTATGAAATGGAGAATTTTTCAGAACATTTGTGCGAGGTACAGATATGTGAAATATGTTAGAATTTCTAGATGATACTCTCGGAATGCAGATATCAATTTTTCTCAACAGTTCAGTAGAATCAATTAAACCGTTAACAATTTTGAAACCTAACACATAACAATGGTATTCACGTCTTTTTATGAGGCTTAAAAAGTGATATCTTTGAAGAAGATTTTGGTTTGGTATTCCGATTGGCGGATAAACACCGTCCTCCTTTAAACACAGTAATTTTAGAAACCGCCTTTGAACTGCTTCAATTCGATCCGTGTGAAGTTGGTAAAATGGACTCCAGACGACAGACGCATACTCAAGCTTTGATCTTATAAGAGAGTAATATAACGTTGGCTACATCTTTGAAATCCCTGGTGCAGCGAGTTATAAAACCATACATACGATACGATTTTTCAATCATTTTATCTGTGACATATAAAGGTCAATCCGGGATCAAAAATTACCCCAAGATCTGTAAAAGTATCTGGTCGCTGAAGTGAGACATTATCTATTAAATAATTATACTTTATTTGGTCGGTTTTTAAAGAAAAATACATAACTTTACATTTAATTGGATTAAGTTCAAGTTTATTATTATTACACCATTCAACCACTAGATTTAAGTTCATGTGAAGTTGTTCACAGTCGCCAATACTTGTCACACGCTTGTATAATTTTAAATCATCTGCATACAGTAAAAACTGCTCTTTAATTACACTCGAAATATCATTGATGAAAATATTAAATAGTAACGGGCCCAGAATGGAACCCTGAGGAACTCCAGATGTTGTTGCAAATTTGAAAGACTTAAACCCATTAAGCTGTACAAACTGAGTACGATTTACTAGATAGCACTGAAAGAGATTTATCAAAGGGGGGGACAACCCAAACCCTGTAATTTTTCCAAGAAGAATACCGTGGTCAAGTCTGTCAAATGCCTTTGAGAAATCTGTGTAGATGACATCAGTCTGGGCGCGCTCATCAATGGATTCAGCAATGTATTGTGTGACGGTAACCAGGTTGGTGACTGTTGAGCGACCTTTCATAAACCCATGTTGATTGACTGATAGCATTTTACTAGCATAATGATATAAGGTTTTCTCCAATAAAATTTCAAATATTTTGGAGAAATTGCATATTATGGATATTGGTCTATAATTGGTTATATCTCTTTTATCCCCCTTTTTGAAAACTGGACATACTTTTGAGGTTTTCCAAATATCTGGAACTGTTGATGTCTTGAGGCATATATTTATGAGGGTGGCTAACGGAGGAGCAAGTTGAAAGGCACAATCCTTTAAAATAAAAGCTGGAATATGGTCTGGACCAGTTGTCTTTTTAGGTTTAATAGACTTTAGAGCTTCATATACCTCTTTTTCGGTAAAACAATTGACATTAAGGAACGGAACATTGAGTCGTGAATTTGAATTAGCAATAAACGGGCTAGAGGTAATATAGGACTGTTTGAAGAAGTCAGCAAATCCATTGAGAATATCTAATGGAGTTTTTAGTGATTTGTTGTCATAAGACATTATTTGAGGGGATTTGGATTGTGATTTCTTACTATTTATAAATGCCCAAAATTTACTTGGATTACTAGATATCTCTTGTTCAGTCTTTTTAATATATGCTCTGTAAGAAATGTCTATTTCTAATTTTAAAGCAGCTCTTATGCGTTTGAAGTCTTCAAAGGCTTCTAAATCATTTTCTCGTTTGTATTTTTTCCACATATTAGTTTTAACTCGTAACTGATTGATTATTTCTCTATTAAACCACGCTGGATATTTGTTTTGATGCTTGCTGGAATATTTGGGACAACATTTATCAAGAATATTATATAACTTTCCATAAAAGTATGTACAAGCGTCTTCTGCATTATTAAAGGCTTCTAAAAATGTCCAGTCAATACTGGAAATTAAATTGTATATTAGTAGAAAATTGGCTTTTTTGAAATTATAACAGTTTTCAAAGGAGAGATTCCAGATTGTTTTTACGGTTAGTTTTTACTTCCAAGTAACAAGTGATGTCCAGAGCAGGATGGTGTTTATCTTCCACTACAAATGGATCAAGCGATTTTTCTACTAGACATTTATCATTAAAGAAGACTAGATCTAATAGCCTATTATTATCATTAAAGATAAAGTTAGACTGAGATAAATTAAAAAGTTGGGAGAAGTCATTGATTATTGAAATTTGTTTGTTACTTTTGCCGTTACTAAGATATTCCGCATATTTGCTGATATTAAAATCACCGATAACTAACAAGAAACTGTTATATAATAAATTTAAGGAACACAAAGATTCAAAAAAATGTTCAAATTCAGTATGGGGCGTTTGTGGTGGAATATATATATTTATTAAAAACAAATGATGAGATGACATGGTTATTTTTACTAGAACTATATCAACATATAAAAATGTAGGAAAAGAATATTCATTTAAATTTACTTGTTCAGAAATAATATCATCACGTACTCCAATTACTACACCGCCACCTCTAGTCAAAGAGTTTTGCAAAAAATTCCGATCCACCCTGTATATACAAAAATTAGTTGGAAATAATTCTGAATTATTAACTGAGTCAAGCCAAGTTTCAGTTATCACAAAAACGCTACTATCGCTTTGAGCTATTGAATTAAATATCAGATTAGTTTTTGTTTTTAATCCTCTGGTATTCTGATAAAATATAGATAAACTTTTTGAGCTTATTTTAGTATCTGATTTTACCTGTGGAACATGTACGGGGGGAGTATGCGAAATATTTGATTGTTAAATTGTGACAAATAACTTATCTTTAAATTTTTTATACAACTCGGAATATGCTGTACATTTTTCTTTTTCCCAAACCGCATGATTGATGTCAACATTCTTGTTGGTTAGTTTCGCACAATTGGAGCATTTTTTGACGCTAGACTTACAGTCCTTCAATTCATGTGCTTCTCCACATAGAGGGCAGGAAACGGCCTTATTGCAATTACGCGAGGAGTGAGAAAATTCATTGCATTTATAACAGCGGAATAGTTCAACAGCATCATATACTACGCAACTATCATAACCGACAAATAGGTTTCCTGAATTCAATGCACGCTCATATACCGCCTTAGTAACTTGTATGACTGACTGCCAAATGTTAGGTTGCTTTTTTGTTGGATATATTTTGAATATTTTTAAATATGAGTCGCCCGAGAATATCCTAGAATTACCATTTAGAATGTGATTGCGCAGATCAGACTCTGAAAAATTCCCTGTCATACCCACTACTCGTAACCTAGGAAAAAATCCAGATACCTCTTCTACATCATAGGAGTCCGCCAGTTTCACACATAATTCGTTTCAGCTTCTCATTGTCAGAACTATTCTGACATCCAATTAGTAGTCCTCCATCTTTAACTGATTTTACTTTAGAAAGCTGAAGATTCTCTGAAGTTGGATTAAAGTTACGCAATATGTCAGATATGGTTTGAGTAACTGATTGTTTGTTGTCTTTTGGCCGAATAATTAAAGCAGGTTGCGACTTATCTTTTAATACTTCAGCATATTTGAGAGGTTGTTGGAATGACGACGAGGAAGAGACATTTGAAATGTCAGACTTTATGGATAAAACTTCATCCTTTAGTAATCTGACTGCACAACTAATTTTTTCTTCCACGAAATCCTGTAATCCTCGAGGATCGAGAACCATACAGAATTTCACGCACTTTGGGCATTTCCACGATAGCCCCGGTATAGTTTGTAGAAGTTCGATTAGGTTTTCTGTTTTTGTAATACAGATAACGTGGTATTCGTTTTTACATCCTTCACATGAAACAGCCGGTCTTGTTCTGCTAACAGCCGATAAACACGAGGTACAATTCACCATTATGAAAAAATCATAATTTAATCACTGAAGAATTTTCAACAAAAATTATCACAAATATCGGCTGCACCTTCAACAATCAAATTGCAAAAATTTCACAAATTTTAAGTTACGGGTGACACGCGAAAAACGCATAAAACGGGACCCGAAGTTCACCGTGCCACTGTATATGTATTTAATTATAGTTTGTTTATTTAAAACAGTATTTACAGTTTATTCATGACGTACTATTTAATTTATATAATACTTAGACACTAACTCACAATTCTAATTTATTTAATACAATTTATGTGTTCAGTCCAATACTATAAACTAAACTGTGCGTCGATGAGCCGGGCTATTTATACCAAGTCCAACTCTGCTACGAGAAATCTCTAGACGCTCCCGAAAATTCCATCTCTGACTCAACGGCACTCTCCGCCAGTTCTTCTCGTTTCGAGCATGAGACGGGTGCCACAAGGTCGATGCTTTAGACAGGGTCGGCTTACAAATTTCATGACATTGCACCCTCCTTAAGAAATAGTTCCTCCTGGAACTAAAACTGAATGGTTGTATTTGCAACTGGATCCACTTTTACAATTTCCAGTTGCATGGAAATAACAAGGGACAGTCTTCGTTATAACCTGAACGCTAGGAGAATGGCTGCAGACCAGTATTTCAACCTGGGTATCTTGAAAGATTAGTTCCACCATGTTTATAATGATCCTCCAATTCAGCTGGTTGCTATCTATCTTTGGCATAGCTAGTTTCTGTACATTGGACTCAAGTACATGCTCCCTCAGACTGAGTAATGCTTCCCATACATCATGATAGGTGGATCGATTTCGGAAGATGTTCTTTGTTGCCAAATAGAAAAGATCCATTTTGAAGTTTTAATGCTCTTCCAGGGGCTGGTAACTGATCTTGAAGTTCTTGCAATCGACCAAACTTCTTCCGGAATACAGATGCCAGACCTCGAGCGTCGTAGATGTTGGCGGAAGGCTATGGATCGGCGAGTAGTCTTTTGGAACCGTGAGCAGGTCTTGTTGTAGCTCCGTTGTAACACCATGTCTTGCGCTTTTCCGGTACCTCCATATGCACCCATAAATTCTGCAAAGATAAGGTCAGGTGTTTCTTGGAGCTGGTTTACTACTTCCTCTTCATGGTCACCCTCAAATGGCGCCAGCCGGTTTTGGTGCTCTACCTTTGGTTTACCGTTTGGGATCTTACTTATACGGTAAATGGCATCATTGATTTTTTTATTGATGAGGTACGGACCTTCCCAAGACCTTTGAAGCTTTGGAGAATAACCCTTTTGGGTTATGGAGCCAGACTTTGTCGCCTTCCTTGAAATACCTTTCTGTGGCTTGGGTATCGTTTCTTCATTTTGTCGCGAGCGATTTGAAGATGCGAGCGAACTAATTCTAGCATGTCGTCCATTTTTCGTCGTAGCTGAATTACATAATCTTCACCGGCTATGTCTTCTCCAGGTCGGCATCCAAACTCGAGGTCACACGCCCGAACAGCACCTTTTTGCTGGTGTTCGGCCTGTAGATTCATTGACAGCAGATCAGTATGCCATTGCGAAGAGCGAGAGATACTGATCCCAATCTCGCTGATAGTTGGAAATCACTTTTGACATGTATTTGCCAATCGTCTTATTCATTCGCTCTACCATTCCATCCGACTGTGGGTGCAATGCCGTAGTTCTGGTTTTCTTCATGCCTAGTCTGTCACAGATTCCTTGAAAAATCTGGCTTTCAAAATTTCTGCCTTGGTCACTGTGGATTTCCAAAAGCACTCTAAATCGACAGCTAAACTCTTTTATCAATACGTCTGCAACAGTTGCGGCCTCTTGATTTGGAATGGAGTAGACTTCCACCCACTTCGTGAAATAATCCATAACCACATCATGTATTTATTACCATTCTCGGTCGTGGGGAATGGTCCAGCAATATCTAAAGCGATCCTCTCAAATGGGTTGCCAACGTTGTATTGCTTCATAGGAACCTTCCTTTTTCGTTGAGGTCCATTACTCATAACATGGGTGGTACATTTCTTACACCAGTCCTTTACATCATCGGAACTGTTCATCCAGTAAAACCTTTCTCTGAAGAGATTTCCTAACACCGAGATGTCCTCATGATGGACTGTCGTGTAACTGACGAAGTACTTCGGTTACTCTACTCCTTGGAATGACCACCTGTCTTCTGTTCTCGGAACCATCATCATTTTCAAGTACTCGCTTTAATAAGCCATCTTCCAGGATAAAGGAGTCCCACTGAGCCAAATACGACTTAAGTACTGGAGAGAGATTAGATACTTCTTGCCAAGTAAGTCGACGATTTTCCTCTTTCCATTGTCGCATCTTCTTTAAAACGGTATCGTTCTTTTTCTTCCCTAAGTTTAGCAGGGGCCCACTCATCGTTGACTACAGTTGTTCTTAGTAGTCCACTTTCTTTGGATTCCGCTTTGTTGAAGCGGGAGCACTCCGCTGGACACGGTCTTTTAGAAAGAGAATCGGCATTTCTGTAGCTTATCCCGGCTCTATGTTCATCTTAAAATCGTTTAATCCATCTGGTGATTTGACCCTCCGGGTTTTTGAACTGTATCAACCACTTAAGGGCGACATGATCGGTACGGATTAAGAATTTCCTTCCATATAGGTATTGGTAGAAGTGTTCCACGCATTTCACAACTGCCAGGAGTTCTCTTCTCGTGACGCAGTAATTTCGCTCAGATTTCGAGAACACTTTACTAAAATAACCCAGTACTCTTTTCCCCCTTAAATCTGTGAAAGCACTCCTCCAATTCCCTCAATACTGGCATCAGTATCCAGGATAAATTCTCCCTCTGGTAGTGGGTAGCCTAATATATTGACGCTGTTGTTAAATGCTTCTTTAAAGTTTTGAAGGCACTTTGGCAGTCTTCGTCCCAGCAGAATTCTCTTGCTTCGTCTGTGAGTCGCGTTAGTGGTTTAGCAATATCTGCAAACTTTATGAATCTTCGGTAATACGTACAAAGCCCAAGAAAACTTCTTATTTGGTTTTTTTTATCCTTTGGTTGTGGCCACTCTTTGATAGAAGCGACTTTTTCCTTATCTACAGCCACGCCATCCTTGCTGACTACATGACCCAGGTAATTAACTTTATTTTGAAATAGTTGGCACTTCTTGGGGTTTAGCATCAGTTGGGCAGCTTGAAGTCTTTTAAAAATCCTTCTAAATTTTTTAGATGTTCATCAAATATCTTCCCCAAGACTATGATTGTCGTCTAAAAACATCAGACATGTTTTCCAGGATAATCCTCTCAATACATTTTCCATAAGTCTTTCAAATGTTGCGGGGGCGTTACATAATTCAAATAACATTGAATTGCCACAATCCAGATCCGGTGGTAAAAGCTGTCTTTTCTTTGTCTACTGGTCCATTTCCACCTGCCAGTATCCAGACTTCAAGTCTAAGGTAGAGAATAGTTTACTTCCGGCCAATGTGTCCAAGGTATCGTCGATACGAGGCAGAGGGTAACTGTCTTTCTTGGTAACATTGTTCAACTGACGGTAATCCAAACAGAACCTCGTAGTTCCATCCTTTTTCTGGACCAGGACTACCGGAGAGACCCATGGGCTGGTAGAAGGTTCTATCAGCCTGTCTTCCTTCTTTTCCTGAACAATCCTTTCAGCTTCCTCTCTTTTGGCCTTCATTTTAAAGTTGGTTTTTTTCTTTCAAAGTACTTTTAAAATAGCCTATCAATTTAGGAGGATGCACAGTGGGTCTAGTGAAGGCTAAGTGCCGTTGGACAACCCATCCTCAAACCGTTACACATGCAGAAACCTTTTAAAGTGCAACTTACGCTGTATTGACCTGTAATATTGTCAGACCTAATAAGTACATTTTTATTTAACATTTTAGATGCAAAATTTTTTTTATTATTGATACCAATATTTTGTTCTAGTCCTAACTATTTAAACCAAATGTCCCAAAGAAATATCAAAAATGCAGTTCTACTATAGCACAAATAGAAGTTGGAAAGGCTTTTGTCAGTTCTCCCACTTCATACACATAAATTGACAGGTTTGCGGCGGATCTCACCGAAGTGGGCGCGATACATTAGCGTACAAAATTATTTTATAGATGTTACTAACAATTTCGAGTAAATAGTTTAATAAATTGTAAATAGCCGTTGAAATTTTGTAAAATTATGATTATAATACATGTTTAATAATTATTTATAGTACATAAATACATACGATTGTCCGGTTCCGCCGGTAACAATTTAAAATTACTTATTCTATGAAACGACACTGGCAGGTAAACATTACTGCGAAATTCTCGAAGCCGTCCGACTTGGTTTGACGTTTACCCCCTCTATACCTACCAAAAGCCTTTCCAACGTCTACTTGTGCTATAAGAGTTAAAATGTTTTTGGTTGCGCCTGTAAAATTAAGAAAAAGCAGTTTAACCATAGATATGAGAAAATAAAAACACAAGTTTAATTTGCTTATTAACATTTATTGAGGGTTGAATTGTTTTTAGAAGAAAACTGAAATATCAGTTTACGACGTCACAGAAGACAATTTTTTATGTTTCCATATCAATTTCTCCAAAAATCAAACGGACTAAGTAAATCGAAAAATATGACAGAGTAGGACTAAACGACGCCTACGCCAAATGAGTATTTCATATTAATTACATACAGTCTTAAGAAAAACACAATCAATCGATTCCATAAAGTGGAATGTTAAGTGCAGACAACCAACTAACCAACGGGTACATTTGAATTTCATCATCCATAGTTGCCGAGGTTTTTACTGTCCCTGAGAGAAGTTCCATGGGTTCGTTTGCTGTTGTTGATTCCAAAGTGGGGATGTATTGAAGGGGCTGTAGCTATCTCGGGTATGTGGTTGTGGAGACTGGAACCAAAACAAAGCTCAAAAATAACAAGAAATCATTGATTTAAGTTACTTACGTCCTCATTCCTATGCAGAAACTCGTCGAACGTGGGCGGAGTCCTGGTGGGCGTTCTAGTCGTAGCCGAAGCACATTCCGGTGCCCAGGGTTGCCAAACCGACGAAGAACCCCACAGATAGACGTTAGACGCTGTCGACACGGCATCGTTGTCGTTCTTGCCGAACGAGCTCTCGCCCAGCAGGGAATTCTTTCCGATAAGGGCGTTTTCGTTCAGTAGACAGCTTTCGTCCAACAGAGGCGTGTTGCCGTTTAGAAGAGAGTTCTCGCCCAGCATCGGATTGTAGCTGTCCCAGTAGGAACTTGTGTTTAGGAGGTTTTGGTTCCATGGATCTGGTAACAAAAATGTATATCCCGAAACTGTCCGAAGCAGATTATGAAGAAAAGAGAAAAACCACAGGATATTTAATTCGATTTTCGACCATATAAGGTCATCTTCGTATTGTTTACAAAATCCCTTTGCCTGAAGATGATCTTAGAAAGTCGAAAGAGCTAGTAGACTTAAAACATTTTTTGAAAAAATCTTATTAAAGAGCCTGAGGTTGACAGACTTTGTTATTCTTTTTTGTTCACATATCTGCAACTTAAAGATTTCGTACATTTTGCTTGCCCCTTGACGAAAAAGATATTTGAATTTTGGGTTTAAAGCCATGCAGGTTTTATCCAGAGGAAAGCTATATCAACAAAAGTTTTCTATTTATATCCATATTTATGCAGAAATGTATAGAGGGTGTCCATGCAAAAATTTCAGATAGCTTTAAAAAATAAAATATAAATAAAATTTAACTTGGAGCCTTGCATTTGGGTTATGAGACAGTGAATTAATTTCACATACTTTTCATCCATAGGTAGCCTAATGTTTTTTGTAGCGAATAAAACGTTCTTGGACATTTTGACGTAAGGGTAACGAAGTAGGGATGGGTAGTGAAATGAAAAGTATGTGAAATTACATTTACTCTCTCACCCCAAATATTCAAGATTCCAACTTAAATTTAACCAGATATAAAGACACCCAGTATGTTTAATTTTAACTAGTTTTTTATATTGCAAAAATTTATTGAATTTTATTATTAGACATTCTTTCGTTTGTATATTAGGATATTTCTGCTAAGATTAATTTGCTTTTCAAAAAACTGTCAATATTTTCGAAACAAATGTATGTTAAAATTGCATTCTTTAGATTAAAATATTGGTTTAAAAGTACAATAAATAAAAAAATACTATCAGAAATTGAAATTAAGGCAAAACTTCTATAACTTAAAACAATTTTTTACCTGATTCTCCACTGATATCATCTCCTGGCGTATGCAAACAAACAAATAATATTTATTAGACAAACCAGAACCATTAATATTTCGTCATTATTATGTGAATTATATTAATTGGTTTATAATGGTTAATTAAAAAAAAAAAACGCACAATCACAACTTGAATTAGGAATATTAAATATAATATATATTTTAAATAAGCAGTGTGAAAATATTACAAAAGTATTTGTTCCATTAAAATGTGTAATAAATAATAGAGAGAAACAACCAGATAAGTGTCTGATTAAGGACTCGTAGCGGCTGTATCTCAGAAACTATTGATCCTACGGCTTCGAAAAAAAAATTTTATAATAAAAACGGTCAAGAGAAAATGCTGGAAATTATTTTGAACTTTCTATTTTAACCGTTAGAGGGCGTAATTCGCTATGGTAATTCACAAAAATCACTTTTCCCCTATAAATGTCTAATAATAGTATGATAATAATAATAATAATAATAATCGAACGGTAATTTTGATTAAATTTTACAAAAGTTTTATTCAACACTTTTTGCTCTATTCAATAAAATAACAGGTAGGGGCGATTGGGAACCTTAATTTAATAAATGTATTATAACTACGGTGTCGTTTATCAGATTTTAAAATAGAACAAACGCAGTACCTAGTAAGTCCTAAGTCGGAAGCAATTTTCCGTATACTTATATGTGAATTTGCAGCAACGTATGCTAATATATTTATTTCGTTAATTTCCGTTCTGCTTCTTCTACGTCGTTGAATAGCTTTTTTAGGTTGAACACAGCCAGTTTCTTTTAAACGAATCGCCAGATTTTTAAATGTTTCTCTTGTTTGTAAAACTCGCTGAGGATATCTCAACGCATATTCTCTGGATGTAATCGGGGCGTTCTCAAAACATTCAAAATATACTTTTAACATGTCATAAGCTTCGGAATTACTGTAAGGCATGATGCCTTTTAACTTATTAAAATATAATTAATTTGACATTTAAGCTTACTGACATTTCAAAGCCAACTTGATTAATATATCAATAACTTTACTTATTAATATTTAAAGGGTCGGTCTTTTCACCTTTGGATAAAGTTCCAGATAACTAACTGACGGATATATTATCTGAGAGTTACCGTCTGTCAGATAATTAATTTTCTGTTTTTTCAAGTAAATAATATGTGTGGTAGGTATCCAGTACTTTTTAACCTTATGTGGTTATGTAACTACCTGTTTATCCATTAGTGAAGTATTTTATCAGAAATTTCATAAATAAGATAATTTATCATTGAGAAGTTAGGTTTACCCAGAAATGAAAAGATTACTTTTTAAGTTACTTGGGAGATAAAAATTATCTGACACTTTATTTGAAGGTGAAAAGACCGACCCTTAGTGGACTATTCACCCTTAATAGACTTTTGCTTATATTCGGTTAGGAAAAAGATAAAAAGACGCGGTTTTTTTGTTTCTTGTCAGAATTTAATTCTCTTTCTAAATAACGTATAAAAATTATAACATTCCATTTAAATTTTTCAAGAAAACTTCAAAAAAATGGTTACTGCTTATACAACGCCACCTAGTGCTCTTTTAAACAACTGAATCAGAACTATTTTGAAATATTTTACTAAACAATCAATTTGCTTATAATCGATACAAAGTTTTTTAAAATCTGATAAACGACACCGTAGTTATAATACATTTAGTAAATTAAGGTTCCCAATCGCCCCTACCTGTTATTTTATTGAATAGAGCAAAAAGTGTTGAATAAAACTTTTGTAAAATTTAATCAAAATTACCGTTCGGTTATTATTATCATACTATTATTAGACATTTATAGGGGAAAAGTGATTTTTTTGAATTACCATAGCGAATTACGCCCTCTAACGGTTAAAATAGAAAGTTCAAAATAATTTCCAGCATTTTCTCTTGACCGTTTTTGTTATAAATTTTTTTTTTTTCGAAGCCGTAGGATCAATAGTTTCTGAGATACAGCCGCTACGAGTCCTTAATCAGACACCCCAGGTCAATCCGTGCCGGAAAAATTGTGGAGTCACTATAGGTTTTTAGTTCGGGAAAAATATTTTTGAAAATACATTTTTTAACAGATCAGGAACAACATACCAAAAGTTACCAACAATAGTACTTGAGCGTAATTTATTATTAAAGAAATTTTCGTCAAATAAAATAAAGTGATATTAAAGAATTTTATGCAAATCGAAGCTTCTTGCAATTATTCCGAAATGCACATATTCAGCCTCTCCACTAAAAAAGCTAATTAGTAAATATATAAACAATTACCTTCCATGACAGTAGTTCCATCTATAGCAGTATCGATAACCCTACCGAAGCTCTCGTGCGGATTCCACCCGTTGGTGTTCAAATCCCCGATGAAACCGTTCTCCCTACCCACGCCGTCCAATCTAATCGAATCAGAGAAATAACTGTTCGTTCTTTCATGCTCCAATCCGTTGCCCAGTAAGCTCATATTGCCGCCGTTCAACTCGATGGCGGTATTCCTTCTGATCGTTTCTTGATTGGTTTCAGCGGAGGATCGCCTGACGTCGGATCTCCTAGATCCGATGGGGCCGAGCTCCGTGAGCGAGGACTGCTTGTACGGCTCGACGTACATGGTCGGTTTGCATATGATTTTGGTCAACGACTGGCTCGGAGGGGTAGTTTTGGGGGCGGTCAAGAATGACGAGGGTTCATTCCTAGCCACCACGTCGCTAAATTTAGCGCAGCTTTCGCCCCATATGGAGTTGATGGTAGTCGGCGGGGGTAGGGGTATGTTGAAGCACGGCGAGGTTTTTATCGGTTTTTCTGGCGTTTCTGAGTTACCGGTGGATCGGTCAGTTTGTTTCGCTTTGTCTGATGATTTTCGGTGGAATCCTGTAAAAGAATGCGAATGAGGTATAATGAGGGCATGAAAATTGCGTCGGCGGTTTTGTTTTTTGACTACTGCATGGACAATGAGTCACTGAAACGAGTACATTCATTTGAAGATCTAAGAATTAATAAATTAACATTTGAGAAACATATTGAAAATGTAAAAAGTTCGCAAATAGGGCTCTTGGATTTTAAATAAGGCAGACATATATTTTTAGTATCATCGACTCTATAAAATTAATCTTACGTTAGACTTTTCAACCACGTTTCCAATATATATGTTAACTCGGCCTTGCTTGTCGCATTAGTGGTGAAAACGGCGTATTAAAAATGACATGATAAATAGCGAGTCAGTTTTAAAAATTACACAGGCATGCGAAAAATTTATGAGCAAGCCTTTTAAACTATTTCCCTTGATTTGGATTTTACAGAGATTGACATTTGACTTCAACCGCCGCTATTTTATCAATTAGAACTGAATGATTTAGTTAGATATTTAGGACTTCTAAGAGATCTTTCTGAGATTTTAGGATCAAGGTTAAAATAAAAAAAATTACTTGCTCCAGGAAGTACATTTTATTGGTATAGAAATCGTGAGGTTGAATTCGTAGATTACTTCACTGCAGCTGGTTCACTTGTATATTGCCAAAACGTATCTGAGTGCTCCTGAATAAAAACCTACTGAGTGGAGACTTTTTATAGACTCGTCAAAGAGAGGCCTTCAAGCTGTTCTGCTACACAGTGCTCCGCAACCTTTCCTCATCTGAGGCACACCAAACTGCTCCCTAGAATTTCGTGGCACACCAAAATCTAAAATATATTTATAGCAGTGGCGTAGCTAGGCCAGATTGCTTTATTTTTCGCGGGTCTCGCTACAATACGAATCTGATTCGTATTGTCTGCAAGAGCGGCACACCTCAAGTCGGCTTACGGCACACCAGTGTGCCGCGGCACACCGGTTGCGGAGCACTGCTGCTACACAACTGTAATTTATATGCATCTGTTCCTGTTGGTCATTCAACCCAGCTAAAAAAAAAACTACGAAAACCTTAAAGAACTGGTTTTAAGAATAAGCAGCACAACTGGATTCTATGTGGCGACATTAAGATTTTATCATTGCTTGTAGGTCAACAATCCATATATACCAAATACTCATGTTTTCTATGTAAATGGAACAGCAGAGCCAAAAAAAAACTAGGCAACAAGAAAAAATTTAACAGCTGGCTTCAAAAATGTAATTCAGGAAAGCCTAGTTGACCCCGAAAAAATTTCATTACCCGCTCTTCACATAAAATTGGGAATGATGAAACAATTTGTCAAAGCTTTAGACAAAAATGGTGGTTGTTGTGTATGAAACATTTCCCGGTCTTTCTGAAACTAAACTAAAAGAAGGCATTTTTGTTGGGCCTAAAATAATAAAGTTAATGATAATTAATGAAATTGAGGTGTGTATGCAGGAAGACGAAAAAGAAGCATGGATAGCTTTAAAAGAAGTTTCTAGGGAACTACGAAGATCCAGAATATAAAAATATTATTCAAAACATGCTGGATAAATTTAGAAAGTTATGAGCATAAAAATTCATTTTCTACATGCCCATCTTGATAGAAAAACGATAGCAGGGAAGTTAGGATGTTAACATAATGGCCGACTACTGTTGGATGTTTAAATGAGACAATCCACAGCCGAATATACAAAAAAAAGCTTTACAAAAAAAAAGAAAGATTTTTCCAAGAAGATAAATGTAGGTTTTTTTATTATTTCCGTGGTTTTATTTTTTGTTTTCTTGGTTTTATTATTTTTCTTGTTTATCCTAAATATTGTTAGAAATTATTTAAAGCAACTCTGACAACGCTGTATCCTGAGGCCGCCTGCGGTCGTTCGTAAGGAATGGGTATTCACATACGTGCGCTCGTGTAAAATGGCTGCCTGTATTTTTGTTTATCATTTTCGTGCCTTACTGTTTAATAATTTTTTTTAGTGTGTTCAATTGAGAATATAATTATATCTTTGAGTGTAATCTCTTTTGCTAACATCAGAAGTGAGAAAAGTGCCCATTGTTCACTGAGTAAGTAAAATAATCTCAAAATGTTGTTTAATGTTTATACTAATAGTAATAGTAGGTACTTGGTGTAATAAACTAATGCAGAAGTGCCAGCCGATTTAATACTTACTTTACTTTCAATATTTTAAAGTTCCTAAATCCATGTAAAAGAGAATTCTAAAAGACGCTTTTGTTTTTCTGCTAAAGTAATTAAGATAAGGAATTTAGTCATTTCTAGCAGGTGTTGCTTAACTCGCATATTTTTCATTTTCCATGCCGGGAATCGGCATTCGATTGTAGTTTTTTTGTAAATTACTCTTATTTTAATAAATATTTAATTATTATTTAAGTTTATTTTATTAAAAGGGCTCTTTCACATGTTATAAAAAAAATAAAGTTTATTTCAATTTAGTTCAGTAATTATGATTTAGATTCAAAAGGCATATCAAATTACATCTTGAGTCGGTACTTCTTGTTGATTTGTTTTTATAGTTCCCGTTCCTACACGGGCATTATGTTTTTTTTTTATCCAACGTTTTAGTTTTTATTTTGCTAGGGGTTATTTTAAGAAAAAATATCATCGATCTCTGCACTCAGCTGATGAGATGCTGCCACGTTTACAAATATAATTAATAATTGGTCTTTGTTATAAGTTTTGTTTCTGATTTGTTTTAATTTGATGATTAACAGTATTAGGTACCTTTAATGTTAGGAGCTTGTAACTACTGAATGAAACGTTAATATTAGTACTTTATTATAAAGGCATTTCTTGTTTTTATTATTATTATTATTACATAAACGCCTTATTTACTAAATTTACTTACATTCGAATGCCCTTTGGACTTGCCAACGCTCCCACAGTATTTCAAAGGGCAATTAACAAAGTTTTAGGCGATCTCAAAAAAAAAAAAAAACTGTTACATTAGTTTACTTGGACGACGTACTTATCCCTTCTGAAACTTATGAAGAAAATTTACGTTCACTGGAAGTTGTTTTGAAAGCATTACAAACCGCAGGGTTTACACTGAATCTAAAAAAGTGCCAGTAAAAACTTTAAGAATTTAAGTTTGCCTCATTACTTGGATTCTTTGGGTATAGAATATCATTACATAACTCCTGACATACATAGATCTAACGGACAGGTAGAAAGATATATGAAAACAATTATGAATTTAATTCGAGTATAAACAAAAGTACGGTCAGAATGGTCGAGCAATTTATGGAAAATTCAACTTGTATTGAACACAACACTGCAGAAAACAACTAGTGGCACTCCACTAAAGGTTTTAATTGGAATAGATGGGGCAAAACCACTTAGTCAGAGAAAACCTTGAGGCATATGTTCAAACTCGTCTTAGAGCCAATCAAAAACGTCTCAACACTGTCGACTACAAAGTGGGTGATTTTATTCTTATAAACTGGGATGAGTACATGCACCAGGGTAAATTAAAATACGAATTTCAAGGGCCATATGAAATCATCAATATAACAACAAAGGGTCGCTTTGAAATCAGAAGAGTGGGAAAGTCCCTAATTACTAAAGCTGCTAAGGAGCAGTTAAGGATGTGGCCGAGTGACTGGTCATTTTCAATGAATATGACAGAATATGAGAGACTTAATGGAAAGTGAAATAAGGTAAGGCATATGATAAGTGGCTCGTGTTAGATTAAATGTAACCTTTTAATGTTAAATAACTTTTATGATTAGTTAATGTTTGAAAGCTTGTTACGCTTTACATTATGATTAGTTAATGTTTATAAGCTTGTTACGCTTTGCATTATGATTAGTTAATGTTTGAAAACTTGTTACGCTTTACATTATGATTAGTTAATGTTTATAAAAGCTTGTTACGTTTTCCATTATGATTAGTTAATGTTTGAAAGCTTGTTACGCTTTGCATTATGATTAGATAATGTTTATGAAAACTTGTTACGCTTTGCATTATGGTTAGTTAATGTTTATAAAAGATTGTTACGCTTTGCATTATGATTAGTTAATGTTTGAAAGCTTGTTACGCTTTGCATTATGATAAGTTAATGTTTATAAAAGCTTGTTACGCTTTGCATTAGAATTAATGTTTGAAAGCTTGTTACGCTTTGCATTATGATTAGTTAATGTTTATAAAAGCTTGTTACGCTTTGCATTATGATTAGTTAATGTTTATAAAAGCTTGTTACGCTTTGCATTATGATTAGTTAATGTTTGAAAGCTTGTTACGCTTTGCATTATGATTAGTTAATGTTTATAAAGCTTGTTACGCTTTGCATTATGATTAGTTAATGTTTATAAAAGCTTGTTACGTTTTGCATTATGATTAGTTAATGTATATAAAGGCCTGTTACGCTTTGTATTATGATTAGTTAATATTTAAAAGCTTGTTACGCTTTGCATTTTAAATGGTTGAATGTTAAAATGTTGAATATTTGTATATTTAGCTAAATATTGAGAAATTATATCTCCTAGTATGCTTTGTTAATGCAGCAATTATATTTTTAAGGTCTGCTTGAATCTGATTCTGCATTAAGAGCTCGATTCTAATAACGCACTGCGCTATTAGAAATTAGTTGTGACCCAGATTAAAAATAAATGAGTCGATTTGTATGCAAATATTGTTTGTTCATTTTTTTTAATTCTGTAAATAAATTCAAAATTATGATAATCTTACTTTTAGCAATGAATGGGAGCAAGAAGAACCACAAAATCTAGAGGAATATGAAGACCGAGATGAAGACATTTAGTAAAACATCGAGAGCGATGTTTTCGTTAGGATTGGCCGTGTTAGAAATTATTTAAAGCAACTCTGACAACGCTGTATCCTGAGGCCGCCTGCGGTCGTTCGTAAGGAATTGGTATTCACATACGTGCGCTCGTGTAAAATGGCTGCCTGTATTTTTGTTTATCATTTTCGTGCCTTACTGTTTAATAATTTTTTTTAGTGTGTTCAATTGAGAATATAATTATATCTTTGATTGAGTGTAATCTCTTTTGCTAACAATATATATAAATATTCTTACTTTTTTACATTGTATTTTGCATAAAAACCGTACGTGATACAAAAAACTGAAAACAGTTTTGAAATCAGCATAACTTAAATACCTAATACCAGTTGAAAAATCCAATTCACATTATATATAGTATTAAATCGCAGGCCTGTGTTATATCAAAATTTTTAAATTGAAGTAAGTCTTTTTGTCCAACAGCCGCCATATTGTGTGAAAGTATATAAAAAATATGTTTTTTTATTAATCCTTGCTATTATAATTTTAAAGTTTTTAATAAAAAATCCATCGGAATTCCTGTACACAATTTCTCTAATAAATGTACCCCATGTTAATAAGAATAAAAAGAAAACGACAAATACCTTTTTCTCTTCGTTCCTTAACCACCCTCTCTCTCTTCTTCACCTCTCGTTGATGCACGTGCTTGCCGATCGATTGAATATGATGTTCGTTCGTCTTCTGATTCGTCGTATCGTATTCCTTATTATCCTTCTTCTGTTTGTCGTTGGATTTCGCTTTTTTCTCAACCTGTTTTTGGTGCCTAAACTTATTGTTGCTTTGCGCGTACTTAAACTCGGTAGCGGCGACAGAGTGATTCGAGTTGCCTTCGATAACGACGCCGTTTTTTATGCTTTCCCGCTTTGAAACAAGCGATTTCGTTTTGGCACACTGTTTGGGAACAGCGCTCTGGTCGTTCTCTTTTTCGGGGTCTTCGTTTATGCCTCCGCTGCTATCCGTCGCGTTCGAGGAAGTTTCCTCTTCGTACGTGGGTACTAGAGCATTAGTTTTGCATTGTTTCTTAGTGCAAAGTTTCTTAACCTCTTTATCTTTAGTGTAATTTCTGTCTTTATCTTTTTCTTCAATTGCCATCTCTTTAACATCCTTTGTTCTAATTTTACCATTACTGGTATCATGATGCTTATCCTTTCGTTTTTCCGATTTTTCTTCTTTAATATCTGCGATTTGCAAATCACTGCTATCGTTATACAACGGTTCTTGATGGCTTATCCGCTTCCGCACTTTTCCTGTTGTAGGAACTAAGACAGTATATCTTTCGAGCTCAGGTTTCAATTTCATCTCAACGTCTACGTCTTTAACCTTCTTTATATCCTTAACTGGACTAATTTTAGCCGATTGGATTTCTTCCCTAGTTTGCTGCCCGACTAACCTCAAATCTAATACAGGTTGGACAGAAGTACTGCTAGGCAATATGAAAGAACCGATGGCTTGTCTTCGGATGCGCTCTGCGTCAATGGCAGCTATGCACATGATCACCACCAACAGGACCGTCATGGAGGCGACCGTTAAGTAACTCAAGTATATTTCCCAAGATGGGCGCGATATAGCATCAGAACACATATTTAAGTATATGTGAGGTATCGTTGTGTACAAGGTATAATTAACTGGTACATTCAAACTGGTCGCTATAATCAGAGTCCGCGAAATTTTCGACAGCGTAAAATCCGGAGTAAACGCTATATCGATCTTTCTGGTTTGATTTGGATGCAGCGCAAACGGCTCGCAATCCATCACTTTAAAACCATACCCTTCGCACAAATAATCGTTAATATAGAACGCGTTAATGTACAGCGTTACGTCTCCGATATTCCTAGCTGTAAACGTTCTTTTGAAGCTAAAATTCGAATCCTCGGGGTATATTCTGCGTCTTTCGCAGTCATGGAAATGCCTGTCCGTCATTTCGAACGCCAACGGTTGCATGGAGCCTGGTTTGCGATTGCCAAACTTAAACATCGGTTGTACGCCTCTGGCGTTCAACCTGACGATCTCCATTATGGTTAGATTGTTCCTTACCAGGATTACGGTCGAGTGCAAATCCGCAGTTTGAGCGTGAAATCCTATTGGGAAGGTTATAGATTGACCGGGCGACAATAAAACCGGCATACTCTCTTTGTTGGCTGTCAAACCGAACATGTTGAAGAATAAACGCTGTTGTCTTTCTTTTGTTCTGTTAGCGAAGAAGAAACCTCTAGAAAAGTGCTTATCGTTAGGATATTTTACAACCAAATCAGGCGGCATGGCTGTGTAAAGCATGTCGAAACCCGGATAATCCCGATCGAAAACGAATTGCACCATAACGAAATGAGAAGCCGGATTTCTTAGAGTGATATTCTGGTAACTAGTATTCCCGACTTGCGTCAACGGAAAAGTAATTGTGGCTTTTTCCTGTGGGATTTGATCCATAATCAATCTGGGCCAACTCATTTTGACACGCGAATGAAACAGGTGGCCTTTAACTTCTGAGGTATCTAAGCGTAATGTGAGATTCTGCCATTTTTTCACGCCGTGACTAGTGACGTTTAGGTAGCGGTTGTAGAATGTATTAAGCAAATGAAGATCAAAGTCGGATACATATTTGGAGAAGTTAAATATGCTTAGCCATTGCGCTAAATAAAATAAAAATACTATAAGCATAATATAATATATATAAATTAAATCGATATATCACAATTTGAACTATTAAACTACTTGCCTGTAGTATCACCCTGCATTCCGGAATAACACTCAGAACGGCACTCCAGATCAGGATTGAAGAACAAATGGCCTACTATTTTGGACGTCCTGGCTATTATGTGGCCTGTGTGCCTGCTGGTTATTCTCTTATCTGGCGGCATGGCAAGGATATCTTCTATGATCATCGGATCATTAAATGTAGAATATATCCTTAGAGGATGCGAACATATTTTCCCCTTAAAACGAAACAAAACACCTATTATCTATTTAAGCATTTAAAAAAAATCTGATGTGTCCAACACACGACTTTCCTATCTAGGTATTATAGGCTTTTTCCGGTTATTTTGTACAACCTATTGCAGCACCTCTATGTTTAGAGGATAAACTAAATATATACATTTTTCAGATACTTCTAACTCGAAACATTTTTCTATAGATATCCATTGAAAAAGAAAATACTGAAAAATTTAAATTTAGCACTTTTTTTCCAATTTTTCCATTACGGTTCATTTTAGAAAAATCATGTAAAACACAAATTTTATAGAGATCGATATCGCAAACAACAGTTTAACAATTTTCATAAAAATCAGAATTTTACACATTTTGTCAAATTTCTCGAATACGGACCATTTTAGGAAAATTTGGTATAAAACAAAAATTATAGATAATAATATTAGAAGTAACTTTTATTTTAACAATTTTTTCTCCAAACATAAATAACAGATATATTCCATAAATAAAAACGACCTCCTATAAAGTAATCCCCAGATGTTCCGACTTTGTCCAAAATCTAATCATTTCACCTCAGGCCGAATTAAAACTTAAGTTTAAAATTTAATGTTTTTTCCTGCATCCGTTTTTGAGTTTTCTTCTTTTTGAATTTTAGAGAAATTATGTATAGAATAAAAATTATAGTGAATTATATTACAAACGACTTTTATTTAAACAATTTTTATAAAAAATTATTTTTTTTTCATTTTGTAAAATTTCTCGAATACGGACCATTTTAGGAAAATTTTGTATAAAACAAAAATTATAGATAATAATATTGTAAGTAACTATCTAAACGTAAATAACAGATAAATTTCATAAAATATAAAAATGACCACCTATAAAGTACCCCCCCAGATGTTCTGACTCTGCCCAAAATCTAATCAGTTCACTGGAGACCGGAATAAAGCTTAAGTTTAAAATTTGATGTTTTTCTTTGTATCCGTTCATGAGTTATCGAGGATATACACACACCCACACGCACTCACTCACACGCACGCCCGCACGCACGCACACACACGCACGTACACCCACAAACCCACCCGTCCACCCACAAATCCACCCACAAACCCACCCATCCACCCACAAACCCGCCCATCCACCCACAAACCCACCCACCCAAGTTCTTACCGGAAAGCACTGGTCAAAAATAAGCTTGTCCGGGCCGACTTCTAACTTGCCGGGAGCGATTTTAAAATGGACGGGAACCTTCAAATTCTCGTACTGAGACTCCACGTATATGTCACCCCAGACTTGACCCTCTACTTGTGTGGTGCCCACTGTGACCTTTACAATAGCGTATTGGCCGGACTTCATGTTGTGCTAAAATAAATCAGTTATAAGAAACGATAATAACTGCAGCCGTTAGAAAAAAAATTCTAGTTACTTACGCATTTTTTGAGGTGTCTAAAGGTGGGAGAGAATAGCGCTAGCCTGTAATCGCCTGTTCCGCATCCGATAACTTCGGCGCTGGTCATGGGTATTGAGGAATGGATGTGTTTCAAATACACGGTTACCGGATTGGAGTTGACGAGCATAAAATAAGCATCTTTTTTGGTATTGAAGCCTATCAAACCGATGTCCATTGAATAGTCCTTGCTTTTAAATGGTAAATGCTGTAAATATGAGTCATAGACATAGATGTTCATAATATTGTATGTAAATACTTTTAATTAACAAGGGTATAAACAAATAAGAGTATGCATAGAAATATTTTTCTGACACTACCCTTTATAATTAAAAAAAGTTGATCTTGTTTTAAGCTTAATTTATAGCCGCCGTAACGTAACTTAAGAACTTAACGTAAGAAGTTGAAATATTGAATTTACTTATACTTATTTATAATGTTCGTAACGTAACTTAAGAACTTAACGTACTGTAGAAAGTTCACCAACTTTTGACTTAACAACTTAACTTAAGACCTTACGGTTAGCCAATGAGATAATTCTGAGTTCAGCATGTGATAATTGTCAATTATTCTTTTTATTTTTTTTATAAATGAATAGACAAATACCATTTGTAAACTATCATTCTCCTTTTTGATGGACATACATTATCATTAATGATTTGTGTTTATGTTATTGGGGATAAACTATTTATGAGATATGAGTGTTGCTGCATATACCTATAAACATCAAGTCTAGAACTGAAATAAGACACAAAACTAGTTTGCTAGGAGAGATTAAATTCTCATTATTGCTCAAAAACAATCAACATCTTCGGTAAACTATTCTATTTTATCATATTTTTATATTATTCCTTTTAAAGTAGTTAATATATTCTTTCTATATAACAAAATCATATTTATTTAGAGGTTAAGTACATATTTTACACTTGTTTATTTCATAAGGTTGTCAGTAATTTGATAATCTCTGAAATCAGCACGCATGCTCAACTCTTACGTTACGGACATTTATAAATAGACTTTATTTTTATATCTTAGGTTAAGTTACGTTACGGTGGTTATAAATTATACTTTAGCCATTTTGTCTAACCCCTTTTATGTACTTAATGTTTGTATTACTTTAACACCCATGTGTACCATATTTGGACACTGTAAGATTTTCATTTAAACTATGTGTACCATATTTGACCGCAAGACACTGTTACGTTCCAATCAATGTGTTCTACATAGCATCGGAGATAAACATGATTTCTAATCAAAGCTGTACAATGTGGGTTCTGGTAAACATTACTTATTGATATTTCGGATTCCTGGAATGTATAATGAGTAATAGCGTGGGATAGCGGAATAGTGACAAACTGTAAGTTTTCTGTTTAGTCAGTTGTGTACTTCATGTTATAAACAGAACTCTAGCAGGTATGGAAGAAATAATGCTATGTAAAACGCCAAGAGTGTAAAAACACGATGTCCTGGACGTTCACCTGAAACATGGTTTTATGTGTTCCAAATGCGTTTTTGATTCTCACACCGTTCACTAAGACTTGATTGACTGATTGACTTTTTATTTTATTTATTCTTTTGTTTAAATCTTTGTTGATGTTCAAAAGGTTTCACTAAGGATATAAATAATTATCTATTTACTTATTTATTTACATTTATTTATTTCTAGCATGCATCGCATTTGGTACACATGGGTTTTTATGAATATAAAGTTAAGTATTTTCTGCTAACCCGTGATACCATAGTTTTCCTCACCTGCTATAAAGAAAAAATACAATTTTTAGGAAAAATAAATTCATATTATTATTTTAAAACCTGATATACATTCATTTGTATAAAAAAAGCCGTGGGTTACTACAATACTTTTTGATATATATCCTGGGAGCTAAAGGTTAACTCTGAGATGCCCTATACATTTTTATTATTAATTATAGATTCTTTCTATTCATCTGGAAAATTATCATGAACTAAAAAATGTACTTACGACTTGCAATTTCCCATTGTAACTAACCAAAGGTACTCTGATGTCAGAAACGTTCGTTAATATGATAATTTCTGACTGCAATTGCAATTCCTGCAATCTCATATTATTTTTGAGCTCAATGAAAAAAATATTAGCCTCTTCTCCAGGTTTCAATATCTTTGGTGCCAGGACTTTCACCTGAAAATGTCAAACATCACATAAACTTACTAAACTATTAATTTGTAACAACCAACTTTGAAATACGATTGAACATCAGTCGGCAGAAGAACATCCGACACATAAGCGTAATCATCGAATTGATTCTTGACTTTGAACGATCTCAAAGACAAGCCCTCTGCCTTCTCGTTTATAAAATAAGTGGTTGTCAAAGGATCGTAATTCAGGCCCCCTTTAAGGACGTTCAAGTGATAAGGAATTTCCGATTTGTTTCTACCGTTTCTGAACTTTACAACAATTTTTCCAGAAAAGTCTTTGGTTTTGTAAGCAGTCTTCCCTAAAACAAGCACAGTTTTCGTATATATCTAATTTTCTTCCATTATATTTAGGAAATAAATAGTGCATATATGCAACAACAAAACTTACAGTCTATTGTTAGAGTGCCAACATCGACACACTGATCCATTGGGTCTTGCGAGTCTGCAGCCGGTGGCAATCTAATATTGTAATACTGTATCTAACAATGAAAAAATATCAAATATATAATGTTATTTATTTAGCAATTTGCTAATACAGTAGTGAAAAAATATGATAGTATAAATAAAATATCATCTGGTAATGTAAAGGTTGGAACAAAATTTGATAAAATTGTTACGAATAAATATAACACCCTGTGAATAGGTATGTTATGATTTGTAAAGTTTTGTCCAAGGGCAGGCGCGCTAAACAAATATTCAATAAAATAATAAAACGTGTAGTTGGAAAAGGTTTTATTAAATCACAATATTTAAGTACAGGGTCAAGAAAGATCAACAAGAGCATTCTTGAAAAATTACAAGGGAATTGTCGAGAGTTCCTTTTGGTCTTTGTTGACGAGCGTACGAAATTATTCGAATTAAGGGGATTCCTTTTTTGTGTCCGAAAGTAGAGTCACGGGTCGCGGTTAGTTTTTTTTTTTGTAGAACCATAGTGATAAAAGTAACGTGTGCTTCCGCCAGCCTTGCAGCCCAACAGATAGGATACAATGCTTATGTAAGTAAATAGTTTTAAGTAGTTATATTTAGTTTTGTGTAGTCACTAAAGACTACGTGATTGCGGAAGCAATATTAGTTGTTTTTATTTGTTAAGTAAATCACAGTTATTTGTTTTACGCTTGTTTCAATTTTCTTTGGTTTATGAAAACTTACGATAATTCAAAGGCGGGGGTATTGGCTTAATCCGATCTCTGAGAACACTGCCAAAGGGAATAGTTCCTGCAGGGCAAACCCTTTCCCCGTCCTCTGAATCATCGTCAGGAAGTTAGGGTCCCTTCTGAACTTAACCCCCTAGCCGTTGTTGTCTAGAGGCCAATTTAAATACAAATTGGGCCGCTCTATATAACTCGTGGTTACCGCTATGAGTGGACTTAAGGGTCAGTCAAAAGGCCTATAATCTCACTCTTAACAATATTTATTGAAAATTAATGAAAATTGTTAATTTATATATCGTGAAATCACAAATCGAAATTCGAAAAGTTAGGAGAAATATCTTAAATAAGTGACTGAATTATTTGAAAATTCCGAAATAAATCTCAAAAATTCTCCTACGAATTAATAAGACCATTGACTATCGAACACAAATTACGTCACTAATATGGCGTATACTAAAATAAGCCCATCTAAAAAACAAAATCGACCTGTCCAAGGTTTTTTTACTTGACCGTTAAACATTTTATCGCATTTGTTCCAACCTTTACAGGTTTGTTACATAAATATTTCTAAATAAAGATTGTGAGAGAGAGATGACAGAAATATTTTAAAAATATATCAATAAGTTAAGTTTAGTTTTTGATTAATTCATTAAGTACTTGGCACACAACAACCAAATCCTTAAGATCATTGGAAGTAGAATAAATCCGTGCATCTGTAAATAAGTGGATTGAAAAATAATTGACTATATTATGTTCTATATCATCAACATAAAGTAAACAAAGAGATTCGTAGTTCAAATGTACCAATGAAAATCGCAAAAATTCATACCTTTATCGCTTTTGAAGCCGTAATCACGCTGTGGACCCTAACGTGTTTCTTGTTGGGATTGAGTAGGCACAATTTAACAACTTTGGGGGCATCACAATTACCTCCCATACCCAAATCTAAGTAACCCCTCGGATGGATCAGTTGCGCTTCGGAAGTCACCTCCACTTCAACAGGAACTATCAGAGTCAGATCGGGTTTGTGTAACCTTATTCTGTAAAAGAAAATAATTATTAATTACTACATTCATACAAAACAGCTTCCAATGGTTACATATTATTCTGGAGCTCCTGATAGAACACTTAAATGCTGTATGAGATGTAATTAATGATTGATGAGCTATAATAGTCATATTTTTTAAATAATCATAGGAAACTTTATCATTGCCAAAGTACTTTGTAAATGGTGCCGTTCAAAAATCATAGGAGAATAGAAAATTATTAAAATTCTATGTCTTATATGCCTCGTGACGTGTCTCAATATAATGTAATATAATAATTTATTTACATAATCTAATTTTAGAATAATTATTATGAGTTAATATTAAATACAAAAATAAATTTCGTGCACCTAGGTGCAAACTTTTTTATGTGAGGAAACATGAGTATTAAAATTATAATTCTAACTACTTAGATTTTATATTTTAGACGCTTCTACGTCCCGACGCCCAAGTTAAATATTTCCACACAAGCAATGCTTCCGTATCAAACAAATGTCAGAAACGGAAACCGACGATGTACATCCAATGGTCTGTATATACGATGGTAAGTTAATAAAGGAAAATTTATTATTGTATTAGTCAATAACGTCACATTTGGAGCTGCCAGATGGACACGCTACAGGTTGCATTTGCACTTAAATTATACCAACATGAAATATTCAAGAATCTGATTTACTCAAATGCCGATGCATCCTCACTACTGGCTAATAAATTAACAGCTCAGCTGATTGGGGTGACTGTTTGGTTGGCTAGATTCACACTTTGAAATACATATGATTTTGTTCAATTCTCTCCAACGCTCATGACTAGAAACCAAACAACGAACTGAACTCGCAATTGATTATTGCCTCTGTAAATTAAATATTATAGACATTGCATTTTGTATATGTAGAGTTACTCAAACGTGCCCGTTTTATTGCATGGCAAAAAATGTGAGAGAAAAATTCCCAGAACTGATCGACCACTATCAGATGACTAAGCTGTGTTGTCATATAAATTATTAAGTTTTATAATAATAATTAATAATAATAAAAATATTCGAATCCCACCGTTGGCCGGGATTTTTTTATTTAATTTAAATATTTAAAATTAATTCTGATGCCTTGGTAGGATTCCCTACTCGACCATTCACTGTTGGGTTCTAATTAACAGTGCTGTTCCTAAAGTGGCGCTGGGAAACAGTAACAAAGCCTACACAGAACACGAGGCTAATGGCCTTAGTAGTCGATGCCGATGACACCTAATTTAAAAAAAAATAATTATTATAAAGTCTGGCCGTTGAGCACTCAGCGTTGGGTGTTAAAAGCTACCGTAACAGACTAAACAAGCAAGACCCTACTGCAAGCGGACTTGAAGAGGTAGCGAGGACTATCAGCAACCTACAAGGGGCCTTAAATCAGACCGGTAGCCCATGTAATACCGGTACCCGTCCAGGCGCTATGGGGTGACATCTCAAAACGCTATGGCAACAATGATGAGCAAGCTTCCCACAATTCACCCCGCTCGGATGGGGTTGATGGGCAAGCAGTTGAACGGACGCCCTTACACGACCCAGGAAATAAATCCGGACGCCGCGAATGGAAAGAAGAACTTAGGGACGTCCTGCTGGACGCATACGAAGAAAGCGAGCCAGCTAGAAGAGGCTTCATGAAAAGGATGCACGATCTTTGGTCTGAAAAGCATCCAGAACTAAATAATCTCACCCAACAACGTCTTAGGGATTATGTAGCCTATCTCTAGAAGATCAAGGTACGTCAAAACTCCTCAAGAACAGGAGTTAACTCAACCAAACCAACATGAACAACCGAGGGAAGAGCTTGTAGTAACTGATGATAACCATGTCCCTGAAAACGTAAAAAATTATGGACTTGAAAACCGAAACGTGAAACTCAATATCAAATTTCACGTTAAGCCGGAAGATCTTGCACGTGCAAACAACACAGAATTACGGGAGGAACTTCCAGAAAATGTAGGCATATTGGCATTTAATAACGCTGTATATAGAGCTGCAACTCGACTGCTACCGAACAATAGCTGCAGTGGCGTAGCCAGGTGGGGCGAATGCCCCCCCCGCCCCCCTTACTAGGCGCCCCTTGCTGCTTAGCGCTTGGAGCCTATACATAAACAATAAACAGTTACTTTTATTACACCCTATAACATTTATTGAAATTGAAAAATGAAAATGAACAAATCGCAGCGTACGTAAATAAACTAACTCCTGTCCTGACAAGTAGGTATATCGCAGGAGACCGAATAGTTTCTCACTCTAATAGTGCTCTAAGTAGGAACGGGATAAACACTCTACTGGCCCCGCCTTCGTCAAGTCTGAAATTTGCAACAGCTCGCACCTCGCACCCCGCAATAGACAATTTTATGTAAGGGATCGGTTAAAAGAACTATTTTTATTTGATGAGGTGTCTGCGTTTGAGTCGGATTAACAAGTGTTTATTGTTTATTGTGTTACCGATACCAAAAAGCGGTATTTTTGCTGACATCTATCTGCATGTCAGAACGTAGAAGTATTTTACTAATTTCAAACATTATTATTTGAATTTGAGATTATTCGATTTAGTCTATTTCTGTTTGTGCAAGAAGGAGTTTTGGAGTTTGTGATTTTTTAAAATGAATGAAAAAAAAAAGAAGTCAGGTGCCCAATTTAGGAAAGAAGATCGCAAAAAAAAGTTGCAATTAGCGGCAACTCAAAGCAGAAAATTACACGATTATTTTAAAAATAGTGCCGAAGCCGGACCTAGTGGGAGTGGGTAAGAAAATTATTTTTTTAATATTATTAGATACTTATGTTTCTTTTTCTTTTGAGTAAAATATTCTATTGATATTAAATTAAACTTGTAGAATTAAAGAAGTTCCCGGCATTCTTCTCGAGGCACCGTGTTGTTCTGATTTTCCTGGCAATGAAAGTTCAAAAGAAAGCGAGGAAGGTACCTACGAAAAATATAACAGTAGCGATGACGATGTGGAGGAGGAAATGGTCGAAATGGAAACTGAAACTGATCTTGCAGAAACGTTGATAGGTCTATATAGTCAAATTCATTAAACCATAATTTTAAATTTATTTTATTTTCAGAAGACGAGTCCAATTATGGGGCGCCTAGTAGTAGCAGTGGAATTTCTGTATTGGAGTATAGCTCCGACCCATTACTATTTAAAGAGAAACATATGACAGCAGAATTAATTAGAGAATTAATTTTGGAAGGACCCTGCCAACCAGGACTTAAAGAAAACTTTAATTTTAAATTGGATTCCCACAATAGGCGATTTAATGCAATTTGGTACTATACATCTGAAAACAAAGAAAAACAAGTAAGAGAATGGTTAATTTATTCGCCTAGAGCTAATAAAATGTTTTGTTTTGCTTGTTGGCTTATGTCAAGTTACAACAAAAGTGTTTGGGCTGATCCCAATAAAGGAAATAAGAATTTTAAAAAGGGCATTGAAAAAATAATAAAACACGAGAGAACCGAAATTCACCGTCATATGCAAAATAAATATATTATATCAAAATTACGTATCATGAAAAATCAGACAGTTATTCAGGAACAATTGCAAAAAGAAAATCAAGAATTAAAAAAAAACCGGGAAATGTTATTAAGAATTTTTGATTTAATTTTGCATATGGCCAAACAAAATATATCATTTAGAGGTCATTCTGAAAAACAAATTTCTTCAAATAGGGGCAACTTTTTGGAACTTTTAAATTTATTTAAAAAATATGATATTGTCTTAATGGACAGTTTATCAAATCAAAATAAAAACTCGACTTACACAAGTCCCCAGATACAAAATGAAATTTTAGAATTGTTGGCAAATGAGGTCTTGAGTAATATTACCAGGGATATAAGGAAAGCAATGTATTTTACTCTTATTGTGGATTCGACCCAGGATATCGCAAAAAAAGAACAACTTTCATTATCCATTCGGTTTGTGGGCGAAATCGGATATCCTGAAGAAAGGTTTTTAAAATTTGTTGATATACCCAGTGGGTCAGCTGAAACATTTTACAACGTGATTAAAAAGGAGTTAGCCACCTTAAATTTAGATTTAACCTTATGTCGTGGTCAGGCTTACGATGGAGCTAGTGCAATGTCAGGGCATTTGAATGGTTTGCAAAAAAAAATAAAAAATGATGTGCCTGAGGCTATATATGTACATTGTTGTGCACATAGGCTAAATTTAGCTTTAGTTGATTCAGTAAATTCATGTGTAGCAGTAAAGTTATTTTTTGGGGGTCTTGAAAAAATATATGTTTTTATAACAGAAAGTTTTCCAAGGCTTAAATGTTTTCAAGATATTCAAAATAATTATGACAAAAAATTAAGTCTAAAAAAACTGTCAACGACTCGTTGGGCAAGTCACACTAGAGCTGTTAATTCCATATTTGAAAACCTCCCCGCTATAATAGATGTTATGGAAAGCATCTCGTCTGGTGAAATTTCAAGTACAAATGCGAGTCAAATGATTGATGCTCGTGGAATTTTAACATATATAAAATCTTTTGAATTTGTATACCTTCTTTGCTTTTGGAAACAAACACTTTTAGTTATTCAAATTCTATCTAATTATTTACAAAAAGTCGATATAAATATATCAGCAGCAGTTTCTTTAATTAAATCAACCATAAATGACTTAAAATCATTGAGAAATGACGAATCGTTCAACAGCTTTGAAGAAAAGGCTAAAGAAATTTCAAATAAATATGACTTGCCCAATGAGTTCACAAGAAAAAGATCAAGAAAGGTCAAACTTTTTCACGATGAAAACATCTCTGGGCACATTGAAAATTGCCCTAGACAAAATTTTAAAATTTCTGTATTTTTTTTTGTACTGGATACATTTATTCAAACACTAACAGAGAGATTTGATGACTTTTTTCTGATCGCAAACAAATTTTCATGCTTAGAGGCGGAAAATATCGCTGTATCTGAAGAAAATAAAAAATCTTTGTATGATTTATGTATTTTTTACAAATCTTCTAT